ATAAGATTATGGAGCACTATTTAAAAATTCTGCCATGGTCAAAGCATGTTTGAGATAAAATAACAAAATATGAGGGCAACTTAAGAATGTAAATAATGGAGGTCTCATAAAACAGTAGCCCTTACCCTGTGCTTTCCCAGGATCACCAAGAAAAGAGAAACAGGAAGGCATAGCCAGGTTAACAAGACCTCCTTCCAACTAATCAGCTAAACTTCCTCTCTTTTATTTGTTGAACAATTAAGTGATATGCTACTTCATCAGAAGTTACCATGATGTGGGAAACAATCTAGAATAATATTCCAATATTAATATCAACAAATTTACTAGATTAAATGATATTAAAAAAATCCAATCATTTCCATCATACATAGGTGGGAGTTTTCTTCAGACAAAAGACTCTTCCTAGGGCTCCCTTCATGTCTCTGTTCCTCAGGCTGTAGATGAAGGGGTTCAGCATGGGAGTCACCACCGTGTACATCAGAGACATGACAGTATCTTTCACAGTAGAATTATTAGCTGATGGGCATAAGTATAGAATTATGACTGGCCCATAGAACAGTGACACCACAGAAATGTGGGAGCCACAGGTGGAGAAGGCTTTATGGATACCCTGAGCAGAAGGAACCCTGAGGATGGAAGAGACAATTCGTGCATAGGATAAGATAATGAGTAGGAATGGGAGGACAACAACCAGTCCTCCCATGATATATATCACCAAATAATTAACATGAGTGTCAGAGCAGGCCAGTTTCACTAGAGCAGACATGTCACAGAAAAAGTAGGGGATTGTATTGTCCACACAAAAAGACAGTCTTGTCATGAGCAGGGTGTGCAACAGGGCATGGAACGTGGTCAGCACCCAGGACAGCACCACCAGGGAGAGACAGAGCTTGGGGCTCATGATAGTGGTGTAGTGCAGGGGAAAACAGATGGCCACATAGCGGTCATAGGCCATGGCCACAAGGATGAAGTTGTCAAGGTCTCCAAAAAACAGAAAGAAGTAAATCTGGGTCAGGCAGCCTGCATAGGGGATGGATGGAACTTGACTCTGCATGTTCTGTAGCAATTTGGGCATGGTAACAGAGGAAAAGCAGAGGTCAGAGAAGGACAAGTTGCT